TTGTGTTAAAATTTCGATTGTAATTCTGGGTTACTGCGTGAAACGTGTAATTACTGCGTGAACTGAGAAGTTTTTTTTTTCTTTAATCGATTGGCTTCATATTTTAGGACCTCCTCTGCGACGAAGAGATTCTCAACACCGGTGAAATCGACGAGCAAGATGAGCTACAGTTCATTCGCTCCCAAGCGTACAAAAATGGCGAAAGGTTCGTCAGTTTGCTCTACTTTACTCAAACTTACATAGTATTTGTTTGCAATTTCATCAGAAACAAAATGTGCAAAAATACCTTCACATATTATTTTCCCTTTGTGTGAACATATGAAGTCGGCTATATTTTTCATTTTTGAGAAATCTATGTACTTTGAGAGTTACTTCCAGGCGGATGATTAGGCCTCGAAAACGGCGACGGGGTGTTGATGATAGCGGCAGTTTGGATCAGGATATCGACTATAATGCCACAAAGTAAGTCATTCGCTCACAAATGGGTACTCATTGAGCCACTACTCGAATTCAGTTATTATCATCGCTATAAAAACAAGTCGTATGTTCGGAGGAATGACGTCGGTAAATACTGTCAAGTCTGCAAAGCAAAGCGATTAGGAGGACGTTCACGTGGTCTTCCAAGTGATTTGCAGGTATCATCTCGTTGTTTCTCTTTCTTTTTTTTTCTTATGAGCGATCTTGTCCATGATGGCCGTCTATCTTTGCAGCTTCGCAAATTATGGATTTTGCGCTTCAACCTTGAGCCAGAACGAGCGGCGGAGTTGTGGGTGAAGGATGCATTTGCTGACAATTCACACAGCGGAGAAGTTTGTGCAATGCATTTCCCGGAAGAGTCTGACGTGTACCACAATCCGAGAGACGTTCTTCCAATCGACATGAGAGAACCACACGTGAGCGAGTCGTTTTTGAAATAGGTGTTTCGTATTCTTTATTTTTGACAAAATTTTCTCAATACTCTATCGTTTTGTCGCAAAACTGTGCTGCCGTAGCGCACTATTGGATGATTTCCTTTTTTAGTTAGTGGGCCAAGAAGCTGAAGACGTTGACTTTGGGAACATGGTTCTAACCTGTGTGTTTTGTAACGCACAGCGTCCATTGAAGTCTATGATTCCGTTTGCCCGTGCACGCTTTAGACGGCGTCGATGGATCACGGCTCTCAGCGATAACGATGCACAATCTGAGAAGTAAGGCTAAATTAGATTGTAGGGTGGTTTCATTTTACGGAATTTTCCAACATCGTCAAAAAACTCCTTATTTCTAGCCACCTTCGCGAGGCGCTGAAGAATGGTGCCACCAAGTTCCTTTGTGATTGGCACTTTGCTGATGAGTGCTTTTCCATAAACACGTTTGGCGAATGGAAACTGAAGAAGGATGCCCTACCAAACCCACATGTAAACCCTTTTCTTTCTTGATAGTTTTTTTTTCTCGTAATTCTTTCAAATTCAGCTGGAAGAAAATGATCGGGCCTCTTTACGCATTTATATGATCAATCACTTGGATTCAACTATTCAAAGGAACGACGAGCTGCGCAGAAGAAGAGTAAACTACCTAATGCTTAGAAAGCATGCTCAAGAGAAGGTGAGGGGATAGATAGTTAATGATCTAAATTTCCACTATTTTTGCTGGTGTCACAGTAGCAAGAGCGAGTAAATTTTTAGTTTATTAGTAGTATTAATTAGTAATAGTTTTCTCATGTATTATCCAAGAAATTGCGCAGGGACTCCCAAGAAGTGTTCTCGGCACCTTGATAATCCAACTCATATGAGGTCAATTAACATCCATTTTCAGTGACACTAGTTTAGATAGTCTTACCATTGAAGTGACGTTTGTGACCATTTTTGCATGCATAAATTCTGCATTCTTACAAAGAAAAATTGTATCTATCATCTATCATGCGCTAGTTTTAAAACATGTCATTTAGGAACGGATGGATCGAGAGAATTCACGTTCTGTCCAACATAAAATGCGGCGTACATTCCCAAGACAAGTATCCGATGGAGCCATTGACCACCTCACTTATGAACCTGACCAAATGCATTCGGACTATGTTACTGAAAGTGGACGTCGTCCAAACCCTGCCAATATATCTAGCTCCGTTGAGTACTTGGAGCTAGACCCTGAAATGCCGTTATTGTATCCAGATCATGCAGGTGAGCATCACAATCGAAAGGGTGATGTTTATGCTTCCAAGCGTTTTCACTGTCTCTCAATTATGGCTGGAAGTAGTATTATAGTAAGTTAGTCTTATGCAAAAACATGTTAGATTCTGGCTCAATCTCTTCTGCGTTAATTTGAGCTTAATATGAGATCATTTCACAGCTTTCTCTCCTTCCTAGATCTGTCAATTGCCTTTCTTCTGATTCTGAATGATCGTCTAGCTTTCTTTTATGGTTAGATCAAATGAGATCAAAAGTTTTCGAAGTTAAGCGTTGCTCTTGTTTGAAGCCGATTTTTTATTCGCTATGTATCAGTTATATTTGGCACGAAATATCAGATCCTCTTCAATTACAACCATTTCGTTTAAGATGGTCCTTCGGAGATTTACCATCGCGGCCCTACAACGTCTCAGGACTCTTTGCGAAATAGTTATTTTGATGGGTTTTCTGAAGCAAATATCGATTATTCCGATGAAAGCGACTTGGAAATGGAAATTATCCAAAAGGTTTGCTACGCTACTCCTTTTTCTTCTTCTGTGAATATTTCGCTTGGTTCAGATGCAAAGAACAGTGGACGTGATCGTGTCAGAGGCTCGTCAGTGTGAGTACTGTCATGTGGTTGTTTCAATGGAACGATCAAAGTCTACGCATCGCATGAGGACATGGCCTTACGATGAGTGCGTGAATCCCATCTGCCACTTAGCTTTTTTTGATTTGAGATTTTCTCTGGTCTCTCAGTCTTCCTTTTCGCAGTTCACCGCTCAAGAATTCCTTTTAGTGTCAAACACGAAAAATACCTTTCGATAATGGAATTTCCGAAAGACTTCGAAGAAGAATTACGCCGCCTTTGGGTGAAACGGCGGATTGAACCACTCGACGTTGCACCTGGAAGTGTATATAAGTATCCAACTATTAGCATATGTCAGCATCACTTAGATATAGCGGTAAATTTCATTTTTTTGATTCGTTTTCCTAACTAAAGTTATGTCTTGATTTTATGTCTTCTACATTATGTGTGAAGTTACACTATTTTTTAGATTTATTCAAATCTTTTTCATCATTCAGAAGTTCCTTTTTAATCTCACATCAGTTCCGCAGTTTTTGTTCTATTATTGCCGGTATCATCTTCTTACGGCATAGCGAATAAGATAGCCGATAGATAGATATGGTAGCCTCATCGCATTGATGTGGTTACGCTAAAAAAAAACTCGTCTAGACATGTCCTTCCCACTCTATCATTATCATTCGCTGATTTGCTATAGGGTCGTTCAGATTTGTGTGACAATCAAAGAAAGGGAAGAATTGGCACGAGCTGGGACGAGTGTAACTTTGGGTCACTTTGGGCCATTATTTTTGGGGTTGGGGTTGCAAAACTTTTTTCAATATTTTTACTACTTATATCTAGTTGAGGTTTGCGTTGGTAACACCAGGTTTATCACAGAAACACACCTGCCTTACGATGAACCCGCGTTTGATCTTTCGCTGTCCTCATCTGATCGATAAAAAAGAAGTTCTATAGCAACACTGGATCTGCAGTGCATGTTTTAGAGGGTTCCTGAACAGATAGAGTCGTGGCTTTCCAAGTACTGTGTGCTGTGCGACGAAGAACTCGGAGATGAAAATCTTCTTCTACCATTCCCTTTGGATCGGAGTAGCAGGTACAAATGCTAAATGTTTATCACAAATCGTGCTATATTTTTTAGAGGTGCTTTTCAGACTTGCGTGGGCAAAGAGTCTCTTTTCTCGGAAGCCTATAAACAATCTTGTACAAAAACAACAGCGATGGGTGGGAATTTTCATTACTGCTTTTCTAAATTTTTTTCTTTTATTTCTCTCTTTAGCTTTGTGAGCGATTGACTCGAGAAGCAGCAACACGCTATCGTTTGTGCCTTTTCCATTTTCCCAAAAGCAGTTTCTCCGTATCTAAGGACTGTATTGATTTTGATCAAACCTCACAACCTCTCAGTTTGGTGGGTCTTTTCTTCAATTAACAGCCATGTTCGGCGTCCACTATGCTGTTTTTTAGAATATATGCCAGTATGAAAGGATCCCTCGTGGCCCGCAGGGTGTCGTGAAGTGTCCTCTTTGCGATACATGGAATGTTGTGGCAGAAACCACGCAAATTCGGATACCGAGAGGAGCTGCTGAACGGAATTTCCTTGTCGAGTACCTTATCAGCGGAGATAAGTCGGTGAGTGGAATATGAAGTTAGGGCCCATGCACGACAGGTTAAATGCTTTCATCTGCTTGTGAGTGTAATTAGTCAGCAGAGAACAGTCGCGCTTCTGTATCAAAGAAGTACAACTAAGCGTTTATCATGCAGAACTTATCCTTTGGCCTCATTTATCTCGTATTTCCTTACAACTCAGTTTGCTTACCTGCATTTCACGGTGGATTAGCGTGATCTCCGATGTGTCCCCACCAGGCCTCCAAGCATAATAAATTTCTGGATATATTTGGCTTGCGGCTTCTCCTTCTGAACACTATCGCCCTGAACTCCTTGCCAGTTTGCTAAATAATCTTGCTCTACCTTTATCTGTGGGATTTGGTCTGGTTCTAACATCGTTGAAGTGCATCTAGTTAAAAATATCTACCATATCCGTTGAATTCCGATTCAATTGAATCACTTTCAGACTTTGAGAAAGGGCGTTGAGAAGTTGTCTGCTGAAGCATCCACAATATGTAAAGCACACATGGAAAAGGTGGGTTGTATCAAGTTGTGATTTTTTTTTCAAGATATAGATTGGAATAATAATAGTTTTCTTTATTAGTCATGATCGCGCATCGTGATTCAAAGTTGGCTTGACTCTTCGTTTAGTTTAATTTAGATTTGGCCCTAATTTCTGGCTTCTAGGATCCCTTCGAACAGATTGCTGAGCGAAAACTTGTTGCGTCAGTGATGGTACAGTGCGTGGCGTGCTCTGTACACGATCTTGCACAGAACATGACTCCTTTCCCACATGATGCGGCTGAACGGATAATGTGGGTGGATTCGATGTCGCGTAGACGAGGAGTGAGTTACCATGCAACGCAACTGGATAGTTTGAAATGCACACATTTTTTGTAGAATAGAATGCGGTTACTGAATCGCTTATCGTTGGAAGGACGCCACTACATCTGTCCGCAACATTTCCATGTTAATGCTCTTCGGTAGGTATTCTCACTCACTAATGTTTGGCATAGAAGTTCTCGTCAGCTGCAGAGTTTTCTAAGCCTTTTTTTTCAGATATATACCTGGTCTTTTTTTCAGATATATACCTGGTCTTGGTATTTTTAAGAAAGCTTTCTTCCTACCCATTCATGATCCAAACGAGCAAATAATTACTCGAGTACCGGAACCGCAGGTGAGTTTCTCTAATAACTTGTTTGCGGTATGGTTCTTTGAAATACTTGTGGCCATTCATGATTATTAACAGGAGGATGACTATGTTCCACTCTTAATCGATGGATTTGATAACGACAAGGTTCAATGGACTCTCGATTATGACAAAGTGACCAGCGTGGTGGGAGAAACAGATGATGAGATCCATCAAGAACTTGATGATGAGCTGCAGGCGACTACTTCGTTTTCTGGGTTGGCTCATGCGCCGGCTCAAAATCAGGGAAGAGGTACAACACGCTGATGATCTTTGATGGGAATTAGAATTATTTCTTATCTTTAGAGGTGTTACCCAGAGTGGTTGGTGGAGAAAACTACTGCTACGAGCAAGTCAGTGGCGATGCCGAAGAGCTTGACGCTGATGCTCAAATAGTCTCCGTAGACGATGAGCCTCATGTGCTAGTGGAAGAGATGCCTGTTCCGGAAAGGGAAGAAGTAGTCGTTACTGGAAACCCAGGTTGAAATACTACTGGACTTGTGTCTCGGCTGTTACTTTATGACTTCATAATTGAAGCTGAACTTTCAAGAGATTGCATTTCTTGCTTGCTCCAGCTGTGTTGTATTGTTAGATTTGTTAATTATTTGTGTTGTTTGATTTCTAGACAATATATGATACACATGTATGTTTCAACGCATGTCGTTCGAACATTATGGCCTACGCATAAGACGGTTATAATTTCTGTTCTTGGTGCTTCTTTTTGATTGAATTATATCCCAATCAGTAGTATTTTTGAAATGGTGTGCATTTGATGAAATCCGTTGAAAATCTGATGCTTGACTGTGGGATTTACCGTTGCTAAATACCAAGGAAGTCGCCCCCCCCCCCCCCAAAAAAAAGGTCACAGTACATCAAAATGGCGTTCCGCTGAAGAAAGTCTGATAGTGCGGTATATGGCTTCGCATGCACTGGGATTCACTGAAATACGTGTTATTGTTCACTCTCCGCTAGATGTCTTCTCCAGGGTAAATGTGGACGAATGATTTTGAATGGAATGGAAGAGATTTTTCTAAACCTTTTGGAATCTTTTCACTCTTCATACCAACACTATCTGTAGACTTTCAAATTGCCATGAATCTTTGAATGAAGACCTGCGAAAATCAACTAAGTCAAGTCTATGCTAGTCACAACTTTGGATACCACAACTGCAATGTGAATTTCTAAGCAAGCTACTCTGCACGCATCAGCATTTTCCATTTCATTTGAAACTAGGGTATATTGATGAGCTGATCACGCGTAGGACATAAATTTTACAGCGTAAGCCGAAGCAGCTTATGTTTCTTTTCCTCTTTTGTTGTAACTGACGCTCAAGCACTTACTTGGAAAGTTCGCATAGCAGTTTGCTTCCCTTATTTGTGACGAGTATTTCTGACTCTGTCGATTTACCTAGGTTCCCTTCGGAAGTTTCATGGGATTGTGAAAGCTTCCATGTCTAGTACTCAATCATCCTGCCAGATTTGGCAGTCGGTGGTAATTCGTAATTGTTATGTTACGGAAGGTAGTCACAACTATCTCAAAAAATTGAGGGAGGCTATTGTTGAAGAAGGTATAGGATAGGATGAAAAAATGAGAGAATAAATTGATCGTAGATCAATAAACTTAAGATAGCTCAGGCTTCCGAAAAAACAAAACATAAGTCTGTGTCTGTGAAAAAAGTGTTTTTCGCTACCAAATCTTTTTTTGCCATCTCAGACGAGTTCACTACCAGTAGCCGACTGTGGTAGGAAAAACTCATATCCTGAGGAAAATTTTATATATGGATTGTGCGGCTAGAACTAATGCTCCATTTCTGGCCAACACACTACCTTTGAAAGCTCAGGAAAATAGCAAAAAAAATTAATTTAGCAAGCCTAACACGTATTATTCGCATCATATTGATGCTTTTGGTCCATAGCCGAACTTTGCATAGTGAAGAAAATAACGCTGAGTGATGCACCAAGTATTTGACGTTGTGCCAGCACATTTGGAGCCTAATATAATATCGTGTTCATGGGATACATTTGCTTCGCCGTCTACCTCACTCCCTGTGTGCAATGACCACTTTATGAGTCTGCAACAGCTGATCGATAGCCTGCAAGCCTGGCGTTCCCATGCTCTTCCGTGGTTAATAATAGTCGGCTTCGAAGCCATTCCTCATCGTTCAGAGCAGTATGCGAATGCTGGCACCTGATTTATTAAATCGCGCTACAGTTGCAACAAAAACGGGTGAATAAATGTTCTCGTATAAAGTGATCATGACTCATTTTATGTTATTGACTGCACATCACGTCGTAGCCGGCGTTCTGTGTTTTTTCCTGAATCATTCCTTCACTTGGTTTATTCACCGCTTATTACGCTCCAGGTTCTTCTGGAATGGCCTTCACTTTTGCTGCTTTTGCTTATCTCATCGCACTAATTGCCGTGGCGTTTTGTATCTTCTTCGCCATATATACGGTAAGATATATTAAATGTTTTATTTTTTTTTTTTTATTTCAGCATTTTATCAGGTAAGTTCCCCACACAGCTTTACAAAAGTACCTTCTTTCAGGTGATCTGTATTGATGAGTTGAAAACGGACTACAAAAATCCGATAGAGCAATGTAGAAACTTGAACCAGGTATGTATATGTAAATTTATTTACTCGACTTTCAGATTTTTTAGCATAGGGAGCTATAGGTTTTTCTCCAGAAAGAACCCAGGCTCAAGTAGGAGTCAGTTAAGTTTCTCCATACCTCCATTTTCTTCAAAATTCTCATTATCGTATCACAACCTTTCCTAAGGCTGGTGTCAGAGTTCGCGATCCGTTGTAGGTTTCGCTGATTTGCGCGATTCACGCGATTCACGCGACTGGTCACGGAAATCGAGTATCCGATCAATACTGCAAGTTCTACGATTCCGTGCCTTTTGCTTCTGAATGACGACTGCTCATGATTCCACTTGTTTCATATTCAGTGTTTCAAATGTTCAAATGGGGCACTTGCAATTTTTGCGATCCGTCGCAGGTTTCGCGCAAAATTGCGAATCGCGCAATCGCGAAAATCAGCGAAACCTGCGACGGATCGCAGACTCTGACACCAGCCTAAGGTTCCTACTCTCAGCATTGATATTGAACCGAATGCCAGTGCCTCTGCGGCCAATTTTAGCCATTTATTATGCAGAACTTAGAATGGTTAGCATCTGAGTGATGGAGAAATGGCTATCACGCTAGTCAGTATGATTTCTTTAAGTTGCGTGTCGAATGCATAAAACTGCAAATCCTCCCGTTCAAATCTCTTCCACCGCAGGTGAAAGCAACAAGTTTTAATAAAGTTTTTTACCAGAGAACTAAGAACGAAAGGTAAGTCGTGACTTCTTTACTTCCCTCACAGGTCTAGCATCCATATTATTTTTCACCTTACAGGCTAGATAAGACCCCCAGTACTGAGAAAAGGCGTGGGAGCAGATTTGATGAGGGGTACGGGATAACAACATATTCGCTGTTAGCAAGTAATCGCAATACCAACAGAATCTTCTTTCTCGTCCTCTGATGATTATGCATGGTAGTTCACATTCTATATGATCTACTATGGTTTAAGCATTACGAACTTAATATAAAACTTTTTGCCATGGAGTTTGCAAATCAGTGATCATTTGACAAAAGGTTGAAACAAATATGTAAGTTATTTCACTTTCAGCTCATTTTGCCCGAATATGCCATTCACATAATCTATACATGTCTGTTCATACTCAGCTGGCAAATGTTTGGCATACTGATGAATCTTCCCTTAGCATTCTACAAACCACTAAGTGCTGCTGTTATTTTTATTCTGTAATCGAAGTAATCCAATTTCGGCATGAAACTCGAATCATTCAAATAGGAGTTCTTTGAAAATCGCGCGATTCCAAAATTCCGTAAATTCCTATAGCTGTATGCCGTTTTGCTACAAGGATTAGTGTTGTTGATAGCACGTCGCTGCTTTAGTTGCTTACCTTTCAACGAGACTATGATACTTCATGGTTTGACTAGTGTTGCTTTCTAGTCCGCTGTTGTATGTTGTTGTTGTTTACTTTTCACAAGCCTTTCTTCTGTCTGCGAAATTTGTTCAGTGCTCGCAAACTATTAGTAAGAGTGAATAACATATAATTCGAATGTGGCTTAGATCTTGCAATTATTTAATTTCGAAGCTGGGATGTTGTAAGGGACCGTTCCGACATAAGACTTGAGGATGAGATTCGACACGTATGCAGCCATGTGGCGTGATGTCGTGCACACTTCTACACGTTTTGCCTGATTTATTTGACGCTTTTTTATGTTCCAAAGTGCTCCGCAACCTTGTGGCTCTGAAACAGTGTTTTCTTATCGGCAGTGAAGTTTCTTGAGGGCTAACAACTATTAATGCGAAAACATGAAAAACTGCTATGCCCGCTTAACCCTCGCAACTGTGGTCGTCAATGAGTTAAATGGGTTAACTAAATAAAAAATAAATATTAAATAAATAAATGGGTTAAAATATTATATTATAATATTAAATGGGTTAAATAAATGGGTTGAATGTCTTCAACGACAAGGCGATACGGTGTCTTTCAGGTATATGCGTCGTCCGGTGATGTCTGGTCCAGGAATTTATGATCCTACGACGATTTTGCATAGCAGCCACTTGAGCGCTGCACTTCGTGCGAGCTGGGCTAAGCTAGCGTTCTACCTCCTATCCTTCTTCTATTACTTATACGCGTAAGTTTAAAGTGATCTCAGAAGCTCCTCGCGTCGAGTATTAATAATCTGTGGTGTGTGCTGATTCATGATTTTTATTGGTAGAATTGTATTTCAGCCTCATCTACACCCTGGTGACATCAAGCAGTTAAGCAAATGTGAAAAGATCAAGACCACTTCTCCGTTATTCTCGATCTTTGCCCAAAAGAGCGATCTGAAAAATGTGTCGTATTTCGTGATTTGTACTTAAATATTATGTGTAAATTTTTGACGAGTAGATATTTACGCATGCCGAGTCACTTTAGCCCAGTACTTGTGTGTTTTTTTTGTATTCCTCGCTGTTTTCATGAAATTGAATTCCTGCTTGTTAAATACATCTGATTTGTAATTCATTTTGTGCAGATTATAGGAACAAATTACAAAGTATGAGGTTGGTGGAGAATGCGCTTAAAACAAGTGGTATCAAAAGAGCTTGCGTTGCTGGCCAATTTGAATAATACGCTCGAGTATGTCTTGGTAGTAGTACTAATTTTAAAGATGGTAAGAAGTTCCGTTAACACGTTGACGACAGGCTGACGCGCATGCGCGTCAGAAATTTTGCACCGCATCGGACATTCTGACGCGCATGCGCGTCAGAACTATGTCATTCATTTTTATTGTGCTTGCGCTCCTTCTTCTCGAGTTTTTTGCATTCATTCTATAGATAATACATTAGCATAACTATAAACCACATGGCAGCCAGAGTGGTCAAATATCCCTTGATTTAGCAAAGATTTTCTGAACGCACAAAACTTTCATTTCAATTCTTTCCTAGTATTCCTTTCACTGTCGTGAACATTCATAGAAAAGAGTGTAGAAGCAGTTAACATAAAACTCTGAGAGTCTCAAGACCTGCATATCTTGATGGAAGATTAGGTGACAAAAGCCTTTGCCTCATTCGCGCACAAAAGTGATGTTTTTGCTTCTCATGTCATTACGCGTACTTCTAAACAAAAAGCTACTATATATAGTTATCCTTTATGCTTCATCCTTGCCGAAATAGTCCTATGAATTCAAGTTATTGTGCATTTTAACAAAAAATAAGCGGAACTAAGGTGAGGACGGCGCGCTCGCAAAATCGCTCCTGTCCCACGCGGTGCAAAATGCCAAAACATGCGATGTCGTCAACGTGTCGTCCAATCTGAATTATATTGTGAGATTACCTCGGATGGTATTAATTGGTGCTAGCCATAACCACATTGTGAGGGCTCAGAAGTCTTCGCTCTCACAAGGCATAGTAAAGTCTTTTGAGCCACATTTCAAGGCTGATCAGTTCAACATTGAGGGAACATTACCTAAAGCTGGTAGCAGTGCTTGAAACGTGAGAGACAAGTCTGAATTTGTGTTCTATTGGATGGGTAGTACTACAGGACACGTTCATAAGCACCCCTCCCGGCTTCCAACTACAGTGGCGCCGCAGGAAATCTTGAAATGTTTCACGAGGTAGTGAATCAGATATTTGAAGAACGAAAAAAAACTTACTCCGTTGTCGTTGTTGTTGTTGTTTTTGTGCAACTCTCTTAGTCAGGGCGCGCTCTACTGGCTACTAGTGCTCCGATCGCAAAAGTTTCAAATTTCTCAATTTATTTCAGAATTTCAGATATTTAAATGGGACGTTGTCCTTCTTTCTTTTTGATTGTAGTCTTTTTATTCAACTTGTGAGGTGCGAAATCAGTTTTTAATTATTTATTCTTTTAAGAAAACCGTAGTATTGGATCGCGCAGTTGGCGTTGGATTGAGCCATGGCGAAGACATTATCAAAAAGGGAAGCCAGGTGAGTTACTACTAAGTTCTCGACTCTACTTCGCAATATTTGTTTTCCTTTTTGAGAACTGAATCAGCGATTCCTAAACGAAGAGCAGGAGCTGTTCCTATACTGAAGTCGAAGATTAACTATAAAGGAAAATGATAGAATTGCAAGAATGAAGGCTGCACGGGAGGCATACAGGTATTTTGTTGACATTGTTTGGTTTCACTTTTCGCTCACCTTGTGGTTTCCATTGTGAGAATCGTCCAGCAGCCATTTCATCCCTTCCCAGTTTGAGTTCTTGGATTTCACGTCGTCTGTGCGATCGCAATAATCGCAATAAGCTCTTCCGTAATGGTGGACACGCCTCTCTTACGGACACCTTTTCTTTCTATGTTAGAGTTTGTTATCTGGCGAGCTCGGCTGAAGCACTGCTACGAGCTTGGAGAGCAGTCATCTCATCAAAATGGCCTCAGTCTCTTTCACATGAGACTTAGCCACCTCCTGCGCCGCTCAATGGCTACGGGGAGAGGCTAAGAGATCTGATGTTTTTGAGGACGCCCGGATCTGTACAAAGCAGGGCTCTCCTCGGAGGCACTGGGGATTCTTTTTGTAAACCATAAATGAAGTGCCTCCTAGAGACGTTGACTGAATTACACGCTTCTACGGAAGGTTCCAGCTTCAGCTAGATGCGAAGAGTTGTGATTTTGACGATTCCCGAAGGTGATTTGTTTTTCAGCAAACTCTCTCAAGAGCGAGTAAACAAACAAACGGTGGACCCGCAGCAAATGGTAACTACTTCTAGCGGTAACCATGATGTTAAGAAGGAATTCGATACACAAAGGTTTGTCCATCAACAGCGAATGCGAATACTCCAGCAGTATTCACGAACTCTGACATTTGTGTACTTTAAACTTCATTCGAAAGCTTGTTCACAATCCATTCAAAAATTCTGCTCCATTACCTTCCGAGAGGGTATCTGCAACTCCTTCACCAAAATTTTATTTTCAGTAAACCTTCGACGAGAAGGTCTTCAAAACCGTTGACTGCAGCCCATCTCAAATCAGTTTTGAACTCTTCACCTTCACGTTACCGGAACGATTATCGGGCGGCAGCAACGACGAGAATTAAGAAACATAAGGATGAACATCAAAGGTGTGTTTAATTTTTAATT